GCAAAAATATTTAATAATAATAATAATAATTATTATTATTATTATTATTATTATTATTATTATTATTATTATTATTATTATTATTATTATTATTATTATTATTATTATTATTATTATTATTATTATTATTATTATTATTATTATTATTATTATTATTATTATTATTATTATTATTATAACTTATTATTATTATTATTGTTGTTGTTGTTTATTTATTTAATATTATTGATTTTTTTTCTTTCTTTTCTAAACATGCAGCTCTTTTAGGGGTACTGTAGGGATGTGGGTAAGGGTTAGTCTGTTGACATTATAATTAGTTTTATATAAAAACAATAAAAGTCTATTACTTGTCCTCAGATAAGCATATGTGTGTGTTCTGTATGTGTGTGGATGAAGCATTCTTTCTTGGATTTAGCAGTTTCATTTGGCCAAACAAGAGCAGAACTTGTTATCTGAGGATTGGCTGGCCAACAGAGACCAGTCTGGATTCGATGTAACTAATATGTCTAGGCTTATATGGAACGCTGGTTACTGTGTTTGATTGTTGGTTTATTTAGCTATTCCTTTGGTGCAAAATTGTTGCAAAAGTTAGTTGAATCTGATAAAATCCTGGCTTTAGGGGTGTCATGGGACATACTCAATTGTAAATAAATTCATGAAGTAAATAATGCTTTTTAGTGGTTTTTATGGTTAGAGATAGTCTGTAGTCTTTATAATTAGCTGCATTATTGTATTTTCAACAGCAAACTGAATCTGGTATGCACTCTTAGAAAATAAAGGTTATTTTACATTTAACATTTATGGAACCTTTCCATTAAAAACAAGGTTCTTTTATAGAGGAAAAAAAATATTTCGATTTTTCTAATATTCTTCACATTGCACTGCAAAAAAATATTTTCTTACTTAGTATTTCTTAGTTTTTACTTTGTTTTCCAGTAAATGTCTAAACATTCTCAAGATACATTTAATTGAAAAGCAAAATGAATTAAGTAACAGTTGTTGGTAGAAATCGACTTAGTATTTTATATATTTATCTATGTATCTATTTTAAGTCTTTTATTTAAAAAGTTAGATTTTTATTTGATCAAAAAATCACTGTAAATACAAACCATTTTATTTATTTATTTATATTTAAACAGTTTATCAATAAATAAATAAATAATTAGTATTGCTTACATCAATAAATAAATTAAATCAGTCAATAAATGCATTTAAAATGCTTAAGTTGAACTACTTGTGTTGTTGTGCCATGTCCGAGATGTTTACATAGAAAACACAAATGCAAAACGCACTTTGTGTGAACGTCCCCCTAGACTCTAAACCATGAAAAAAAAAACGGCTTATGTCTCCAAACCGAACCAGAAAACACTCTTTGCCTTTTTCTTTGCGTTTGCTGACATAAGGTAGGCTGATGTATCTTGGGAGCACCTTTGCTCCATTTAATTTCTCTTGAAACAGGCCTCACAAACAGGAAATGTCTCACCTTGCTGAACATGAGAACAAAAACACGCTTTACTCTCAAGAACAAAGTTTTTGTCTGAAGTAAACTGACACTGACTCCTTCAGACACGATGTTAGCAATGCATTGCAAAACAATAGTGTGGTGTATCACGCGGTTATAGAGGAGCATCATGGGTTTCTCACACCTGACGCTTATAATGTTGTTCCAGTAGTCACCATGTTAAGGAAAGATGTTCCGCTCTTGTCCAGATTCATTAAACACAATGTTATGAGATTTATTGGCCAAGAAAGAAGGCGTTATGATTGTATTTTGCAGCTCTCTGTAACAGGAAAGCCAAGTTCATCTACAAGTTCAACCATAAGGACTGCAAGTGTATAATATTTCCAACTATTCCAGATGAAATTGGTTTCCAAATTGTGATTTTGGAGATATTTGTTTGAAGCCATGAGGTGTAATTCAAGAGGTTAACAAAATGGCTTTTTAACACAAGCTTTCTCTCTCTCTTTAGCTTGTCCTCCGGGAACATTCAAGTCCAGTCAAGGGACGGGTTTGTGTCTTCAGTGTCCGTCCAACAGCAGGTCCACATCTGAAGCCGCCACTATCTGCGTCTGCAGGAACGGCTACTACAGAGCAGACGGAGAGCAGCCAGACATGCCCTGCACCAGTGAGTCATTATAATCATCATCATCATATTACTGTTATTGTCATTATCATTAGCATTAAACCGAAGCGGTCAGGTCATAACATCGTTTCAGAAGCAGTTTGAGAGCACAAGTCTGCACCGGCAGTAAGTTGTGAACCAAACCGAGCCTGCTAATGAGATCTTATGAGCTGACCTGACCAGACACATCATGCCCATTCAAGCAGTTGCATAATTAGTTGCATTACTTGGTGCAAAATTGTTGCAAAAGTTAGTTGAATCTGATAAAATCCTGGCTTTAGGGGTGTCATGGGACATACTCAATTGTAAATAAATTCATGAAGTAAATAATGCTTTTTAGTGGTTTTTATGGTTAGAGATAGTCTGTAGTCTTTATAATTAGCTGCATTATTGTATTTTCAACAGCAAACTGAATCTGGTATGCACTCTTAGAAAATAAAGGTTATTTTACATTTAACATTTATGGAACCTTTCCATTAAAAACAAGGTTCTTTTATAGAGGAAAAAAAATATTTCGATTTTTCTAATATTCTTCACATTGCACTGCAAAAAAATATTTTCTTACTTAGTATTTCTTAGTTTTTACTTTGTTTTCCAGTAAATGTCTAAACATTCTCAAGATACATTTAATTGAAAAGCAAAATGAATTAAGTAACAGTTGTTGGTAGAAATCGACTTAGTATTTTATATATTTATCTATGTATCTATTTTAAGTCTTTTATTTAAAAAGTTAGATTTTTATTTGATCAAAAAATCACTGTAAATACAAACCATTTTATTTATTTATTTATATTTAAACAGTTTATCAATAAATAAATAAATAATTAGTATTGCTTACATCAATAAATAAATTAAATCAGTCAATAAATGCATTTAAAATGCTTTTTATTATATCTCCTCACCACATTTAGATATTTTTCCAAGCAATAAGGTCTATTTTTCTTTACTTGGAAGTTTTCTTTGGTTTCCAACAGCAGGTCCACATCTGAAGCCGCCACTATCTGCGTCTGCAGGAACGGCTACTACAGAGCAGACGGAGAGCAGCCAGACATGCCCTGCACCAGTGAGTCATTATAATCATCATCATCATATTACTGTTATTGTCATTATCATTAGCATTAAACCGAAGCGGTCAGGTCATAACATCGTTTCAGAAGCAGTTTGAGAGCACAAGTCTGCACCGGCAGTAAGTTGTGAACCAAACCGAGCCTGCTAATGAGATCTTATGAGCTGACCTGACCAGACACATCATGCCCATTCAAGCAGTTGCATAATTAGTTGCATTACTTGGATTTACATATGTCTTTCTTACAGTATGTTTCTCTTTATTCACATTCATGAAGAACCCATTCTGTTTTTGTGGGGTTTTGTTTCATATGAAACAAATTGAATCCATTACTGAGAATCTGTGAGGCTTACAAGACTGCTGTTCACACACACACACACACACACACACACACACACACACACACACTTACCTAAAGCGCTGCAATTAAATGTACAGTTCTCATGTATAATTTGAGCAATAGTTCTCCCAAATCTTCAGTCAGAAATTCAGTGCCGCAGCGAAAGTTTATTCTTGGACGCCTGCATTAATATGTTTATTTGTTTCCAAAAACTTTGAACATGCTGAACTATTTTAATTTCCATTTTTTAACTACTTCTGGGTCATTATTTGTTTACTCATTATTTACCTGAATTACAATCTGCAATCTTTATTTTTGTATTGTGTCTATCTCTCTCAGAATTAATTTTAAATTATTTATGCAGATCACATTATTGGAGCTTAATGCTAAATACTCACAGTCACAGTTCTCACTGATTTTTTTTGTTTGTTTTTGTTTTTTAATAAAGAATGCTATTGGTTTCTTATATATATATATGTATATATATATATATATATATGTGTATCGCATTGCAAAAATAATAGTTTTTTTTTACTTTGTCATTTTTAATTAAAATGTAATAACTTGAGCTTACGGTGATTATTATTGTTATTCATTGTATTTTAGAGTGAAATGGTATTTTTACAATACTAATGTTTCCTATTTCGTTTATAATTCATTCATTCAATAATAAGAAATATCATTGTATCATTGAAATATCAACAGTGTAATGGCAGTATATTTATCATATGGTAGAAACTATTAGTTATTGATTCAGCTAAACTGATTCAGTGCTGCAGTGCATCTCTCACTAAACCATTACTAATAAACAGGCTTATTCCAGTCTAAAATACATTTAAAATCATGTTTTGGGAGCTAGGACACATTGTAAATGTGCAAAATTCAGAAATTAGCAATTTATTAACTACAACATCATGTTCATAAAAAAGATCCTTCTCAAATTACAAGGATCATAGTTTATAATATATAATCAGTATCATGTATATACTCCAATTATTTGTATTATTTATGTTGAAAACAGTTTTTGTGATGCTTTATGTCTATGATCCTTTTTTTCCCCCCAGGGTTTTTTAATTTTGTGGAAACTGTGATACATTATTTTTTTTTTAGGATTCTTTGATGAATAGAAAGTTCAAAAAAAAATTTATTCT